AGGAAGCTGGGAGATGTTACCTTAAAAGTAAGGTAATTGAGAGCGCCCCTGGGAAGAAGGCCAGTGAGGTGTGAGCTGTGCCTCTGCATGCTTTTACTCCTATTAGTGCTCCTCCCATGTTGCTCCCGTGTCCCATTTTGGGGGCTTCCCTGGCCCTCCCCCACGTCCTCCACCCCTCAGCTCCCTGCTGCCAGAACCTCCTTGGGGCAGAGTATTGCTGCCTGCAGGATAGAAGGCAGCCTGGGGGCGGGAGGCGGGAGGCAGGGGGTGGTGTGTGTGTGTGTGTGTGTGTGTGTGTGTGCGCGCGCGTAACAAGGGTTGGTGTGAGGCGACTCGACTATACTATTGCCTGAGGGGGTCAGATTTTTTTGCCGCTCTGAATTAATACCCTCCTCCTCCTCCTTTCCCTCCCATCCACACTCCCAAGGGATCTTGCCCTTCACCCAGAAGCCCACCTCTTCACCTTTCCCCCTCCTCTCTTCTACCCTGCTTGGCCACAGAGAAAGGGCCTGAGGGAGGAGGAAAAGAAAATTGCTTAGGCTTTGATTGCTTTCTTGATTACTTACAAGAATATCTATTCAATTTTTCAAAAAGAGGACAGAAAAACACCCTGAGGGCTCTACAGTCAGTATGATTCTTCCGTGTGCAGGTGAGGTAAAAGCTGTGGTGGGCTGCTTCATTGCCCAGAGGTGGGAGAGTTCCCAGCCACGGTTCTCTGGCAGACCAGATGGAAAGAGATGAGGGAGAGGAGGAGATATGGATGGAGTGCGAGTGGAGGTTGGAACTGTGGCTGGTTTCCCTGGATGTTCAGCTGGGGCATGGGTGATGTTCCCTAGTCCCCTCTGAATTCCCTCAGCATGCTCCTTCACTGCCCTCCGAGCTCTCTGTTTTTGTGGGCACTCATAGGGCCACAGGCCACATCAGAGCCAGGGAGGAGCCAGCACTTCCTATTGCTGCCTGAAAACAACTGATAGAGGTCTTGGGGCAGGGGTCACCTTCTTTCAAGACTGGGTAAGTACCCCTGTGGGTGCCCCTAGAGCCTGCTGTGTGATCCTATAGCATAGGGCTTAGACAGTTTTAGGGAGCATCTTCATTTCCTGTATAGATTGGGGGTTTCTGGAGGGGCTGATGGCAGAATTCAGCAGAGTGTGTGACACATAGCAAATGCTGCATAATAAACCAGCAGCTGAGAGTGTGAGTGAACTCTGCTCTTGAGATTAAAGGATGGCACCCCACTCCACCCCTGTGCTCAGCATGGAGCTTTGCATGTATCAATAGTAGCAGCTCAGTGAAGGAGTACAAAAAGCATGTTCTCAGGGAGCTCCTTAAGATTGAGATTATTTTGCTTAGTACAATGCTCTCCAGGTCCAAATGTTGCAAATGGTAAGAGTTCCCTCTTTTTTACAGCAGCATAGTATTCCATTGTGAAGATGTACCACAGAGAGTATGGGGTGAGGGCATGTGCTGGGGGGTGGGAATGGCCAGGGAGAGGTCAATGGAGCAAAAAAAGAGACATGCGTAATACTTTAAACATTAAAGAATTTAAATTAAAAAGAGACTCAGATTTTGTCATTGTGTTTGAATACATCATGACTGCTATTAAAGATTTTTGGAGATTTTTATAAAAAAGCATGACACAGTCCTTGGATTCTAAGAGCACAACTTGTTAGATGTTCAGGTTAAACTGTTAAACTGTAATACAAGTCACATAATGACTCAGGGCCAAATGAGCCATCCAGACGGGAGTTTGAGTTGATATCCAAGGTACCTATTGCACTGCTCACTGGGCTTGTGACACCTGGGCTTGTGACATGTGAGGTGCACAGAGCCCTGGGCCACATTTACGGTTCTGCTGTTACCATCTTGAAATTCTTAATAATTTTTGAATGGGAGGGCCTGCATTTTTGTTTTATACCAGGCTGTGTGATTACATATCTGGTCCTGACTCCAGGGGATCTGAGGAGGGTTGGCTAGGTGGACATGAGCGGCAGAGCCAGGCTGGCGTTCTTCAGGATGTGGCCGTCCTGGTGTTAAGCCTGGCACACCTGCTCTGAACACGCTTGTGAAGAGTGGGGGCCCAGGGTGTGGCATTAGGATCCCTAGCAAGCCTGTCGGTGAGGCTCCAGGGTGGCCTGGTCTGCCCCATGTTTGGAGGAGCAAGCTTGCCCTCCCCAGGGAGGCTGCTATCCCAGGGGCCACTTGGGAGGGTGGCCTGGTCTTGCTTTGCTGCACTGGAGTTACTCTCCTTTCTAGAATGTGGTGGGTAGAAACCTCATAGGGCTGCTGGGAAGTTTAGATAAAAACAATGAGAAACAGCAAGAAAAAGGGCATTTTTCCCTGGACTCAGACACAGTTCCTGGTGCTGGAGGGTCATAGTGTGGCATCTATGAAGTGTTGGGCTCAGAGTCCATTCTTAGTGGTCAGGCTAATAGCTACCCACTGGAGGACAGGGTCCAAGTCATCCACAGAAGCATAAGCAGACTTTGTTCCCAGGGACAGTCTCTGTGGAGAATGAGACAGTTACACACATCTCCTTCCTGCTTTCTCACAGACTGGGGCTTGAAGTCCAGCTTTCCTCTACTGACCACAGTGCCTTCTAAACAAATCCACTGACTGGTCTGGGTACAGCAGTATGGGGAGGGGAGAGAGAGAGCCTCAGGGCAAGTGCCCAGCTAGAAGTGGGTAAGGTGAAACCTGGAATGCAGGGAGCAGCTCAGAGAATGCTGCTCCACCTCATGAGAGGTCTTTGTGTTGGTGGGGCAGGGGGGCAGGGGGGCAGGGTAGGGAGGTTGGGGGCTGGTACTGGTGGGTGTTCGTCAGCTGACTTCTTTACATTGGCACCTCCCTCAAAGCTCAAGCAACGGCTCCTGGGGAGAAGGCCTGGCCTCTTCTCTACAGACCTGTTATGCGTCCTTCTACTGGGATGTCTCTGTTGGTTGGTATCTGGGCTTTCCTGTCCAGTCTCCCTTCTTTCTCCATGTGAGGGGAAAGGTGGGACCAACACCAGGCCTTCACACTCACCCAGCCCACTTAGCAGGAAAGCAGTTAGGCTCAGCCATGAGAGCAGTGTGACGAATGACCTTAGGCAACGTTGTTAACCTCTCTGGTCCTTAGTTTCTTCAGAAATGCATTTGGGGTAACAGTATTGCCAGCAGATGAGGCCATGATGGAAAGGGCCTGCAGTGGCATTGTGCTAAGGACATGCTAGGGCAGGATCATGTTGTGTGTTCCCGTAAGTGTTGGCAGAGTCAGCTGTGCATGTCACTGGCTCCTGGTGCCTAGTGAAACAGACAGAAGTACAGATGGAGGAGGCTTGTCCTTTTGGGCAGTCGTACAGGGGGACCCAAGCAGGCTAGGCCCTGTACGACTTGACATGGATACAGTGAAATATGGGGCTTTGGGCAGTTTCTGCAAAGTGCAAGTAGCCTCATCTTGTGAATATTAAAGGAACTCACATTTACCACGTGTTCACCATGCCCTCTTATCCTTCATGCATTCTTTATGTGGTGTGCCTCCTTTAGCCGCAGGAGCCCTATGAGGTGTGCGCTCATCACCTTTACCTTGCAGAAGCAGAAACGGAGCCTCAATATCTCCCCAGCTGTGGCTCCCAGACAGCCCCACAGTCTTCTGGTGGGCACTGCCTGCCCCTCCCTGAGCACCACTGGAATCCTGGGGCCCTGTATCACAGGGATCTTGACTGGTCCCTAATCTAGTCTCTTCTTTAAATGGGGACCACAGTGCCTCCAGTCCCATGCACACTGACCTGTTCAGGCAGGGAGGAAGCTTAGCCTTGTGACCTGGTTTTCTGTCTCAGAACTGTGCTGACATTCCATAGAAGTGACAGTGTTGACAGGTATTTGGGGAATACCAGTTTTCCTTCCAATATATTTGTCCCTGCTTATTTATAAAGTGGTAAATATTTTATTGTCATCCTGGCTTATTTAAACAGAAAAAAATGTCAGCAGTCTAGAATTTTGGTACATTTCAAATATATTTTATTCAGTTCCTTTTTGTCTTAGAAAGAATATGAACCCTGCATGCAATGCTAATGGTTTCTGACATTTACATAGCATACAACAGCAGTACAATGTGGCGTACACTGAAGGGGCAGTGTGTGCAGGGGCATTCTTAAGAGATATTTACAAGGAAAGGACCCATGGTTATCTTAGCTTTCAAAGGAAGGCTGCACTGTTGAACACTGAAGAATTACCCAGGAATTGCTTTAGTACTGCATGTTCCATTGTGGTGAGGGAAAGAAAGATGCTTTGCAAGTCCTCCCTCAGCTATAGAATATATCTGTAGCTCTATACTCTGTGTATTTGTATATTTTTAAGTTTGCTCCTAAGGGTTTTGCTAACAATGTTAGGAACTTAATGTGCTTCCGAAGCATTAACTATTGAAGCAGTGAATTTTCACTGCTTCACCTTGGGGTGAAGAGAAGACCCAAACCATTCCTTTTGCCTTGCCATCCCAGGATCTTGGAAATGTTTTCTAGAGTTTGTAAAAATTAACCAGAGAGAGAGGAAGCAGTCAAACTCGAGTTCATAAAATAACAGATGCAAAGAGATCTGCTCTTACTTGCCCAGTGACTGAGGCCACTGCGGAGTCCCCCTGAGGCTGTGACTGACCCAGAAGAGCCCGTGGCAGCTGTGCCAAGGTGCCAGGACCTCTGAGCGGAAGCTTCCTGCTCTAGGAATGGATCAACGCTACTATGAAATGTCTCAACCAAGCTCCCTGTTCCTCCTAGGTGCTTATAAAGCTCAGATGTATAGTAACGTCTGGACAAATATAAAAAAGCAGTTTTTACAAAGGAAAGGCATGAGTTCCCAGCTTTTCAGTAAAAAGCAGCCTGTGATGAAATCTAGAGAGCAAGAGCGATGGGTCTCACATCTGGAAGCCTTTTGCACACAACTGTAAAATGTAAAAAGTGACCCTTGGTAAAAAGTGCTTTGTAACAATATATAATTTGTGTCTTATGCCTGTGAGAAAGGAAGGTTTTGTGTGTGTTTAATCTGCATAGTCCTTTGCTGTCTCCCAACGGGTATGATGCTCTCCCATCTGGGGTTTTTCACCCTATTCTTCGTAGACCCTGGGGAAAAAACACACCCATGTAAGTGGCTCAGGACATGATTTGGGCAGTGCACAGGCTGATGGTTTCTCTCCTTCATTCTTGTCTCCAGCAGTGCCTCTCCCAGGACTGCAGGAGCCTGGGAGAAGTGGGGAACATCTCAAATCATCACAAGGACCACAAAAGCACACCTGAATCTGGCTTTGACCTTCTAAACAGCCTCCACATCTGTAGTCATTGTATCCTCAAAACTCTATGAAGCAAACCCCTCTGCATATGAGGAACCTGAGGCACAAGAGTCTCATTGATATTGAATGTCATTGGTGGGAAGGGGTTCTGTCTCCAACATGGGCAGAGGTGGGGAGGTGTGTTGGGGGGAGAAGCATTTCCTCCCTCAATTTAGGCTTGTGATTTCCTTTGTATTTTGCCCAAAGAATGTCTATCCTCTGGGAGAGCACCAGTTGTAGAACAGCTGCCTTAAGACTGAAGAGGGTATAGTGGGGCTGGGGCTGTCATGCAGGCCTGTGGCTCAAGGTCACACCCTCTGGAAGTTAACAGCCTATGTGCATTCACAAGCTGACTTTTCCCCTCTCCTCCCAAGCCATCTCTAAGTATTTTAATCCCTTCTTTTCTGCTACTTGGCAGAAGGAGTTGCACTTCACACTCAGACAACTCATCGCTCCCTCTGCCTATTTCCTGATTTCTGAGTAAGACCACCTAATTGCACATGAAATCAAATGCCTGCTGTTGCTGTTGTTGCCAGTGGCAGCTGGAAGAGCTCTGGGCCCTGAGGTGCTTGGCATCTCTAGTCTGGACCCCAAGTGCTGGGATGGCCCACTGTCCTCTCCTTCTCTCCTAGGTTTAGCATATTCTCTCTCTCTCCTGCTCTCCCCTTGCCCATCCTCTCCCCCTTTCTCTTTATCTCTCTCCAAAGAAGGCTTCAAGATAGTTCCCTTATCTCCATTCTGTATTTATGGAGACATTTCCAACCTTTTACAGGGTGAGGGGAGGTGGGGAAGACAAGGGAATGCCCCTTCCTCTTCCAAGATACCTCAGTATTCCAAGAAAGGGATGAACTTATTTTGTAATGAAGTGACGGAGTTCTGGGAAAAGAAGTGCCCTCACTGCTCTCATTATTGGAATTTGCAGAAATGAGAAGGTCAGGGCTGCATGGATCCATGCCTGCCTCCTCTTCCTCAAAGCTGTGGCCTAGGTGGAGGGGTGAGGGGTAAGTACTCCTATAAAAAGGCCTGAGTATCTATCTCCCAGCAGTCCAGTGAAGATGTTCGCAACCCTTCCATGAACTGGCCCTAAGGTTAACCTCTTTACACTTTTGATGACACAGGGCCTGTAGCATTACAGTGGATGAGACGATGCTGCTTTTGCCACGTGAGCTGCCTGATCAGAAAGAGGGTTTCATTCCCATAAGACTTGTAGAAAATTATATCTCACTCTCATCATTTTCTATTTCAAGAAACTGCAGATGAGGCAGTTTTGGAGACGGCTCAAAAGATTCAGGTACTGGGATTATACCCAAGTGTTAACTATGAGGGAGCTATTTATTGGCTGAGCTTAGTGGAGAAGGGGCAGCACAGGGACCAGAGGTAGGGAAGGAGAAGGTGACACTGGGAAGCCTGGCTTTCTTCCTTGTGCTCCTGAGAAGTCACTCCCCATCCACACTTAGCCTTGGTTTCCTCCTCTGCTGAATGAGGTGCTGGCACCAGCTCCTGGAAAACTCAGCTATGCATGTGACGTGTGTGTGTGTGTGTGTGTGTGTGTGTGTGTGTGAACAGTCTCTAAGTATGCAAGGACAGGTGTGCTCCAGGACAGCTCACCTTTATGTGGTATAGGAGAACCCAGGAACTTGCCTCCCCTCTGAGGCAAGACATAGAACCCCAGGAGATCAGAGCTGTGAAACCCTATCTTCTGTTTATAGGGAAACAGAACCAAGAGGAGCAGGATCTGGTTCAGGGCTTAGGTGGTCTGGCCACTGCTGCCCCTGAGGTTAAGAATAGGTCTGATTTTTAAGAGTCAAACCCAAGGTCTCCTTGCACCTGCATGGGAAGGAGTTTATCAGTTTTCTGGACATTATGGGAGAATCTATTGTTGGCAGGGAGTCATTTTTATCATCTGTGGTTGTACCTACAGTTTTATAATAAATAAACCAAGTCACTTAAGAGGTCATGTTAACCCCATAAGAATCAGGGAGAGAATTGTACCAGACGCTCACTCAGCCTTGGACAGAGGGAAACCCAGGGTCATATAACTTAAGTTGTTTAAATAAGGTGAGGAATTAAGACTGTAACATAAAATTTAAAATGAAACAAAGTTAGTTCATAAAAGGATACCTTTATGATGCTTACAACTGTCTAAGACAGCAATAGCCTGCTTTAACTGGTAAGTTCCTCATTCTTGGGGATATGTAACCACAATATTTGTATGCTGAGGTTATTGTGATGAGTGTTCGCCCATTAAACATGGCTAGAGGACCTACAAGGTGTCCAGGATCAGGATCTGGGTCTGGGGATGAGGGGGAGGAAGGTGAGGCATACCTGCGCTTCTCATTCCAGGCATTGTACCACTTGATGAACCTCTTGGTGCTCTGCAGCTTGGGGTGCAGGCAGTGCTCCTGACCCCGGTATCTGGACACGCTTTTGGTGGTGATGCTGAAATGGAGTAGGATAGGGTAGAGGATTGAGGAACCTGAATGATAGCCCCTTAGTGTGGCCTGTGAGTTGCCCTGGTCTGTCCCAATCAGGGCACTGAGAGACTATGGCCTCCTCCCTCATTTCAAGGGAACCTTCCTATATGTTCACTCCTTGGCTGGCCCTCTGGAAGATCCGGGTTATCCCCTTAATCTCTGACTCCATATCTACTGAGTGATCAGCTTTCACTTTTCCCCCTGATCTCTCAGAGTCTGGGATAGTGTCTCCCCATCCTCCAACTCCCTCCATCCCCACCTGCATGCAGAGTGTTGTCTACAGGGCTCAAATTTTCCTTGGAGAATAGCTCCTAAGAACCTGAGGTTTAGAGGTGGAGGGTGCTAATGCCAGCAAGGTATGCATGGCAAGGCCTCTTTCCTTGGGTTTGAGTTACTCCACAGGAGGGCTTGAACATGCTCTGCACACACTGTGGTCTCCATTCAATCCTTTAAACACCAGTTCTCCCCAACCCTCTGCAGATTATCTCAGGACTGGTGATCCTGAAGCTAAGTCTTACTGGCCTTGAAGCCCATTGTTGTTCCTGAGCTTGAAGTCCCACCTGCCTCACGCTTGAGCAGAAAAATAAGACTCTCTTCAGACCTATATTAGCCAGTAGAGAAGCAGGTGGCATTGACCGTAGGGCTTGGGTCTGAATCCCAGGTCTGTCTGTGGAATCTTGGGTAACCTTTCTGATTTCAGTTTGCTCATCTGTAAAATGGGTATAATAGTAGGACCTACCTCTTAGGATTATTGGGATGACTAAAGGAGATAACCTATGCTAAGTGTCTAGCACCTGGTAGATGCACAATGAATAGTTATTGTTATTAGTAATTGTCATGCAAGATGAGGTAGCCACAGAAAGAAGCCTTAGTATAGGCGCTCCAGCCTGAAGGGGGAGGCAAGACTTCTGTCCAGAATGGCTATGCCCCTCTCAGCCAGGGCTGGGCCATGGTGGCAGGAGTTAGGAGGAAGCTTCTGGGTGGGGGAGGAAGAATGCTATTCAAGAATTAGGGACCACCTATGGGATGTGGAAAAGTATAAGGTGAGAAGTGAGGATGTCACTCCCTGAGAGATCACAGCAACAACAAGGTATGGGGAAGGCTCAGATGCTGGGGAATGGGGGGTGGTGGGGGAAGGAGGGGTGGTTGGGGGTCCAAGTGGGAAGAGCAGGAAGGGAGGGAGAGAAGTCAGCTAATTCTTGCAGATCTCCAAAGATAAAGGGTTAGGGCTTATATGCTAAGTTCTAGAAGGGGTCAGAGTCTCTATGAACTGAGTCTTAATTGATGGGAGAGGAAGTTGAATGAGGGCAGCTGTTGTTCCCAACTCCTGTGCTCTGAGTTTCCATCTCCCCTCCCCCCAACCTAAGTATCCTGGGGCAGAGATGTGCCTTGCACTGATGATGGATGACTGGGCACTGACTTCCCTGGCCTCTTTATGAGGGGCTTGTCGCTCCCCAGGTCTTGTGCCTCCTTTAATGTCTGGAGCATTGGGCCAGCCTTCAGAGTGGAGTCTGGTCATTCTGTGGTACTCTATCACTCTGCAGGAATTTAGCCCATGCATTGCCTGTAATGTTGCTCTTTCACTTGTAATAAAAGGACATGGCAAAGGCTGAGAAAAAACCCTTTTCAGGTCTTTGTGCAGGCTCAGAATTCCAAGTCTGGAGACCTAAAGATTGGGGAGCAGGAGAGTATGCTCAGCCCTCAACCACAGGTTCAAATGCTCTGTCACAATACTGGTACTATGAATTGGTTGTGGGGTGAAGACATGAGTTTTTCTGCCCCCAGCAATTACTCAGAAATTCTGGGTCCTGCGTCCCACTCCTCAGTGGTTCTATGGTGCCAAGGATTTTGGCAAGAGGTCAATGGACATATGACACAGGTTGGTCTTTCTAGAATCTGGACTTTTCCTGGACCCTTCTCAGTGCAAGGACTCCCAAATTACAAAGCAGGCAGCATCACCCCCCCCCCCCCCCCCATCAGAGATTTCTGGGTGACTCAGGGTGAGCTGGAAAACTTGCTTTTGTTTAGCCTGTGTGGCTGAAAATCTGGTTTGGCAAAAAGTACTGGCCCTTCGTCTCATCTAGAGAATCTTAGAAGCTTGAGGGAAGTGGACCTCCAGCCCTCAGGGATGGGGGTTGTTCTGGGTGTGGAACAGAGGCTTCGGAGAGGGCGACTGCATGTGGATCTCATGAGGCTCCTACAAGTTTTCACGAGGCTGCAGACAGCCATCTCATGCACTTGCCTGTCAGTTTCCTCTCTTTTCTCAAAAGTTTAGCCAGGAAAAAGAACTGGCCTACTGACTAGTGTTCTGTCCTTTCAAGATGTCATTGTACCTCACACCCTGCTTCTCCTCCTTTGAAAGGTCTCAGCAACTGGACTTTCAGAGCATTTTTCAGCACTTTGAGGACTGCAGACTTAATTTGCCACGTCCTTATCATTTTTTAGTCCGTAAGCTGTGAGCTGAAGGGCTTCAGCTCCTATGATCTCTGGCCCCACAAAAAGAATTTCCTGGTTGTTTTTCTGGACCTGGCTCCATAAAGGAAGGGGCAAGAGGATAATGTAAGTGTCCAGGAAAAAGGCAGTGGGGTTCAGCCCCGGCCTTTGGTTCTCAGAATTCCCCTACCTTCAGCCCCACTCTGCAGCCTCTAGGTAACCGTGGGGATTGGGGACTGCCTTTGCCGACTGTGGCCTTTGGGCCAGCGGGGCCAGTGCTGGAAGGTACTTGCCCAGACTGAGAATAGTGTGTGTCCTGTTTCTGGGGCGGGGAAGAGGGGCCAGTGATCCGTGGCAGATATTTATTTGGTAGCTCTTTGCCAAGGCCTCCCTTCCTGGCCAAGAGCATATTGAGGGGGAAACAGTGGTGCTGGCCTCAAGTGGTTAACTGGGAAGGCAGAGGAGCAAGGAGACTCAGTGTTCTCTCTGCCCCAGTTTCAAAGATATTTCCCACATCCCCACCAAGCAGAGCTCCAACCACGTGGCACATTAACCCCAGCAGAGCCCTCCGCACAGGCTCAGGGACCTACAGGAGTACAGCTGGAGAAGGAAGAGTGAGGGAACTCAAAATGAAGTTGCTAAAAGCTGAAAACTGGCCATAGATGGTCCCCCGATTGGAAAAAGGCTCTGAAAGGAGGTCTGAGGACTTAGCACAATGTTTACTTTAATCCTCTCTCCAATAATAGGAAGGCAGCACACCTCATAGTCTGGGTACAAATTCAATAGTTCTGGGTGTACTTTGAGTGCTTTCAAGCTGGGTGTTGTTCTCAGTTGCCACACGGGAGCCATTTAACCCTTCATCACCCTAGAAAGTTGGGCAGTGCAAACACAGGGCTCCTAAGGACTGACTCCCTGGGCAATTATAATACAAAGGCTCTGCCAAGGCCCTGCCAAAGGTGGAGAGGTGTTTGTTAGCCTGACCCAGCCCCACGCTATGCCCCCGCCCCAGGGTAAGAGCAGCATACACAAGCTTGGAGCGGGAACTCACATAACCATCTTCTCCTCGCAGTGCGGGTACTTTGGCTTCATCTCCAGCTTCTTCACGTCGCTGTAGCGGATTTTGGGCCCCTTCCGGGAGCACTTGCATTTGGAGCCTGCGAAAGAGTGCCCAGAGGCTGCTCAGTCGAGGGCAGGGTCTCGCACCCTTCCACGCACTCGGTGCCCAACTCAGAACCCTGGATCTCATCAAAAATAGCATTTGGCGCTTGGGTTCCCCAGAATGGGACAGACGGCGACAAAGCACCTTCTGGGCACTCACCGTCCACTCCCGCGGCGCACAGAGCCAGAAGCAGCAGGAGCAGAGCAGCGGTCAGGAGCCTCATGCTGGCCAGAGGGGCAGGGCGCTCGCGGTGCGGGAGCAGGGACAAGGGGAGGGCGCCCGCCTTTCCGCGCAGTGGCCCGGAGACACTGCCGGCTGCGCTCTTCTCTGTGCCCGGAGAGCGACTCCCGGCTCCTCTCGGCTTCTCTAGCTCCGCTGCGGCCGCTGCGCCCGCCCGCCGTCGGTGGGTGCCTCCTTCACTGAGCTCCTGGGTGCCTTTTTCACTGCGCTCCGCTCTGGGCTCAGCGTTCCTTCCACAGCCTCCCTCCTCCCGCCCAAGCCTCTTTTAAATCCGCTCTTGCCCTTGCGGAGAGTGAGCTCATTAATATGCAGAACCATTCCGTGACTCACTGAGATTTCTTAACACGGTGGGGGGAGGAGACATCTTAGCCCGCCCACCCCAAACCTCATCCAGCGGCACAAACTCCCAGCCAGGAACCCAAGCGCACTCGCACAGTGAATCCGCTCCCCGCGCTCCCACACGCTCCTGCACACACTTGCACACCCAAACTGCGGCACGTGCACATACAGCCAGTGCCTGGCTCCACTGGACAGTTGAGAGGCTATTTAAGGGCACTGCTTTTGTGGTTTGCTTAGCTCCCTCTGTACAGACTGACCTGCTCTTTTGAGCAAATGGAAGACCCAAGCTGTGGCCCAGATATTCTGAGAACTGACAGGGTTTGGGGGCAGGTGCCAAGTGTGAGTACCAATGGGCCTGACTCCTAGGGTGTGAGCAGTCCCTGTTGGGCCAGCAGCTCTGGTGGCCTGAGCACAAGGCCTGGTTGGAGGGAGGTTGCCACAGGTTGTACAGCAGCAAAACCACCACCTACGGTCACTGGAGCTGGCTCAGAGAGTGTGTGTGTGGGAGGTTTGATCACTCTTAGAGGAAGGCTGCCTAAAGTGGGCATTGGCCCCTGGCTGTGCCAGCTGTCTGGGTTGGGGAGAACCAGGCAGAAGTTCCTCACTGTTATACCGTTCTTACAAAGCCGTGCAGAGGCCAAGTAGGGAGATATGACAGTGATGATCATCTGGATGGAGTCCATGTTCCAGATATTGTGCCAGGCTGTGTGGTGCATTGGTAGGGGACCAGGGATAGCGACAGAAGTTCCTGTTGCACTAGTCACCAGTGCAAGTGAGTTCATTACTATTGGCCTTCCTTTCATTCTGAAAAGTACAAGTAGTAACAGTACTTATCATAGGGCAGCTGTGAGAGCTACTTAAGATCAGACATATGAAGTGTTTAACAGAATGCCCAGCCAGTAGTTGGTACTCATTGATATTATTATTATTATTATTATTATTATATAGATATATATTTTATTTTGCTTCTTACAAGTCCCCTTCAAGTTGGTATTGTAATTACTTGACAGGCATGGAAACAGGCTCAGAGAGAGGAAATAACTTTTTAAGATCACATAGTCAGGAAGCAGGTGGCGAGGCCAGGAGGGACCCTAGTATACTGGTATGTGGCTGCAGAACTGGAGTTTTGTCCCTGGGCCACCCCACCTCCCTCAGGCATTTGGTGAAATACTTCTTTGATAGACCCAGCAACAGGATGGACCTTCGTAGGCTTCGAGGGTCCCTGGGTTTGCATCTCAGGCAAAAGCTGGCGCCAGGGCAGAAGCTGCCAGACTTTTCCAGTTCACACAGCTCTGTGCTCTTAGCCCAGCAGCTTCCCGGGGGCAAAAGTGCCCAGATGAGATGCTGGGGGGATGGAATGGGATAGACAGGCTGGTGAGGGGCAGAGTGGGAAGTCTCTGTTGTCTCTCTTTGGGGAGCTTTGGCTTCCTTGTGGGGAAGCAGTGCCTGTGAGCTGGCTTCAGCAATATCCCGAGTCCCATGCAAGCAGCTGTGTACCTATACTTAAAGCAAGGCCAGCAACTGGACACTTGGATTATATAGAGGATAAGTGCTAGGGACTTATTTTTGGCACTTATATTAATTTTGAAAAATATATTTTTAGTGAATTTTAGAGAGAGAGAGAGAGAGAGAGAGAGAGAGAATGCTCACACGAGAAAGAAACATTGATGTGAGAGAGAAACATCAATTTCTACTTCCTGCATGCCCCCTACCAGGGATTGAGCCTGCAACCTGATCATGTACCCTGACTGGGAATCAAACAACCAACCTTTCTGTACATGGGACAACGCCCAACCAACTGTGGCAGGGCCATTTATGTTAATTTCTGAAATTTAAAATTATCGTTTTAACACAAAATCAGCACATTTGTGATCAGAAAACACACACACACACACACACACACACACACACACACACACATCACTTACACCTACTCAGCAGCCAAGATGCTACAGTGTTATATTTTCAAACCCTTCTCTCTTTGCTTGCATGCTTGTACACAAATGAGATGGATGTCCTGTTTAATAATCTGCTTGTTTTACCTGTCACTGTATCATCAGCATAGTTCCACATGACTAATCTCACTTCTACAATATTTCTCTCTTTTTAAAAAAATACATTTTTTATTGATTTCAGAAAGGAAGGGAGAGGGAGAGAGAGATAGAAATATCAATGATGAGAGGGAATCATTGATTGGCTGCCTCTTACAGGCCCCCTACTGGGAATCAAGCCTGCAAACCAGGCTTGTGCCCTTGACTAGAATCGAACCTGGGGCCCTTCAGACCGGAGGTTGAATGCTCTATCCACTGAGCAAAACCAGCTAGAGTTACAATGTCTCTTTTAATGATAATCATTTGAGGTTATATAGTATAATGCTAAAAACTTTTGTCTGCTGTCAGACTGCCTGAGTGCGAATCCTACCTACTATCTAAGTGATCTTGGCTTATGACTTCACTCTTTTGGTATTTATTTTCTCATCTGTGAAATGAGGATATAATAGTACCTACAGCATTGGGAGGATTAAATGAGATGGTGCATGTGAAGCATGTAACTTGGTCTCTAGCAGAATAAATATTCAATAAGTGCTGATTATTGTTATTTTAGATATAGCATATTCCATTGTACAGATGTTCCATAATTACTTTAATTACTCTCTGCTGGACATTTGAATTTGTTTTCAAGGATATTTCCTTGCAAGCAGTGCTGTGCAACAAAAATTCTTGGAGCTCAATTTTAGGGTAGCCCTTTAAAATTGGATTATGACTCAGAATTAGAATCATGCTTGTTTTAAGGCTTTTAATGCAACTTGCCCTCCCCCAAATGATTTTTGTTCTAAAAAAATTTTTTTTAATCTACCAAGCTTTGGAAGAGCATGTGAAATATGAAATATGATTTTTTCTTGTTTTGTTTCAAGAATATGCTTATTAAGTGGGATCTAACAGCACCAGGGGTCATGGGCATGGAGCTTTTATAGGGAAAGATAGTTGGTCCTAAAAATATGGACCAAAGTTTTCCTACTTCCCAGGCTAGACGAGGTCAGACAATTCAATATTTTGTTCCCACTGTATTCCTTAGTCTATGTATGCTCATCTTTGGTTTGCAAAATACAACCATCATCTTTACAAACAGAGTTCACCCCTGTTTGTGTGAGTAGTTCTGGATCCATGGGTACAAAAGAGGTTGGAGGGCCTTCCTGCCAATGGGTCTGTGAATAATGCTGCTCAACCCAGAGAGTGAGGGAGGCTTGACCCCTGACATGCCTTCAGGGTGCAGACTCTCCACTGAGCTTTACCTGGGCCTTTGAGTAGATCGAAGAGGCAGGGTGAGGTGGACATGGGTGAGGCAGTTCTTTGCACACACATGCTCTGCCCTCTGGAGTATATATTCTGGTGTGTGTGTGTGTGTGTGTGTGTCACACACACACACATAGCTATTTATAATCATACTGGTTCTCTAGGGGAGGTGGGGGAGAGGTGGGAGGAAGTAGACTACAGTGAGATCCTGTGCTCTAAAGACCTGTCTGGCCCTTTCACCTCTCGTCATGTGTGGCACTGCTTCCAATAGTAGTGTATCCACTAGCTGTGAGTCCAAGCCTGGTGGGCACTCCTCCCTCTCCAGCATCTTCTTTTCTGGAGGGCTGAGTGCTTCTCTCCCAGTGTTTCCCCCAACCTATAGAACCCAGCAGCCAGCTGCCTTCTCTTTGCTGTTTCTCCTTTAGAACAGTCCTGTCTACTGACGCTTCTCAGGGCCTTGCTCTGAGGTGGAGGGAGAGGCAGAGCCAAGGTTCCCTGAGGACAACTGGTTTTGATCTTTATACTTAGAATGGTTAGAAAGCCTCAGCAACTAACCCCGGGGGAAATGGCACAGGGGATAGTTGGGTGAAGTTGAATTAGGCTCCAGGTAGCTTTGTGGGAGCAGAGGGGCATCGTGAATACTCCCCAACATGTAAAAAATTACTGCAGCAAATACGACAGACCAATTAGCTTTTATTCTGCCACTTATTCATTCAGCACCACCTCATGGCAGACAAACATCTTTACTATGTTAAGAACTCAAGCAAAGATATTTTCAAAGAAGGCCCTAACATATATGAGGAGTATCGGTTCATAATGTGGATTTTTAAAAAATAGATGGAGTTACACATATGTTGATATATATGTGATTTAATATTTATGCCATTTTGTTGTGTTGACAACAAGCTTCAAGACTTCATATGTCAAATATGTTGAAGGTGTTAACATCATAGATATTTTTACATTAAAAATGTCAAATTTCGTGCCAAAAAAGAGCATTTGTGGGAAGTTTTAATTTATTGCTTTATTTTGAAGAAATAGATACTTTAGGAATGCCAAATCGGTTTGGCTCAGTGGATAGAGCGTCGGTCTGCGGACTGAAGGGTCCTGGGTTCAATTTAGGTTAAGCCCATGTACCTTGATTGCAGGCACATCCCCAGTGGGGGGTATGCAGGAGGCAGTTAATTGATAATTCTCTCTCATCGATGTTTCTAACTCTCTATCCCTCTCCCTTCCTTTCTGTAAAAAATCAATAAAATATATTAAAAAATACTTCAGGAAGCTTATGGTGAGCATGCTCCAAGATACTTGTGAACGTTGGTTTAAACGCTTTAAAAGTGGTGATTTCAATATGAAAGTCAAAGAACATCCAAGTCGACTGAAAAAGTTTGAAGACCAACAATTACAAGCATTATTGGATGAAGATGCATGTCATACTCAAAAACAACTTGTTTTGCCTCAAAGCAAGAAGAGATCTATTGGGCTGGTATCCACAAATTACCTGAAAGATAGGGAAATGTGTAGCTAGCAATGGACATTACTTTGAATAAAGCACTTTTGATGTTTCTCTTGAAATTATTGTATTTTCTTTGCTTACAAAATCTGCTAATATTAACCGGTACACCTAGTAA